GTGAGCCACCGTGCCAAGCCTGTTCCCATAATTTACACTCTCATTAACAATGCATGCGCTTGATCTCTCTAAAAAGGCAAATGTCACAGGTTGACATCACAACCAAAACTCACAGTGGGAAGGGATTTCTCCTCGACATCTGGCCGTGAGCAGGAAAGCGAAGAGAATGGAGAGAGGAAAAGAAAGAAATAATCCGAGTTGAGCTTGAAGGGAGAGAGAGTGAGGCACTCTTTAAAGTTCGCCCTTATCTTGGTTCCAACTGTGCAAGGAGAGACCTAAGAGGATTGGGCTGAACACAGATACCGTAGCCTCCCCTGAGCACAATGCCCCCCCGTTACTCCGTACTAAGCTGCCAAGTCACAGGAGTCTGATCAGAGTCGTTGTTATCTCTCTAACACTGTGGCGGGTATGTTTGCAATACACAGGGTTTCCGTAAGTCTGGGAAAATCCTACTTTAGACTTTCATTGACTCAGCAATGACATCCACCGATGACAAGTCCATGGTCCTCCCCTCCAGCTAACGGGCTCCCTCTCATTCCACAAGGAAGCTCCACACCTGCCTGAAGTGCTCTCTGTAGTCCTCCCGTAAGTCTAACCGGTCCTTCCAGGCCTGCCTTCCTGCAAGAAGCTTGCGTGTCTCCATCCACAGGATGTTTCCAGCAGGTGGATTCCCGAAGCCTTTATTACCGACTTCTCTGGCTTCGTGTTGAACATATGCTCTAAAGCATTAGTACTCACTTCTAAGTGTAATTCTTTGTCCCCCAGTGAGACTGCAAACTCCCTGAAAGCAAAACTGAAATCTGTATTTTATTTTTGAGACAGGGTCTCACTCGGTCTCCCAGGCTGGAGTTCAGCGGCACAATCATAGCTCACTGCAGCCTTGACCTCCTGGGCTCAAGCAATCCTCCCATGTCAGCCTCCCGAGTAGCTGGGACCACAGATGTACACCACGATGCCTCGCTAAATTTTTTACATTTTTTTTTTTTTAGAGATGAGGGTCTCCCTACGTTGCCTAGGCTGGTCCTGAACCCCTGAACTCAAGCAATCCTCCCGCTTTGGCCTCCCGAAGTGCTGGGATTACAGGCCCACTGTGCCCAGCCAAAGCTGGAAGCCTACACTTCATTGAATCGACAGGTGTCTGCCTATAGTAGGTGCAGACATGTTTGTTGATTTTTTCTGGGAAAGACGGGGCAAAACTGGGGTTAAAGTAGCAAGTTGTCAGCATCGGAAAGGAAAAGGGGGAAGAGATGGGAGTAAATAATCTTCCCTCGTTTGAAGTGTTTGGTGTTGATTAAGATCCCTGTAGTGGAAGCATTTTCATTGTTGTTTCAAGATCAGCATGAGGTAAGAAAATAAACAGGAAGGTTCCTCTATGCTCTTTTAGTAACAATGAAGATAAAATAATACCTGTTGAATGGCCAGGTGCAGTAGCTCATACCTGTAATCCCAGCACTTTGGGAGGCCGAGGCGGGTGGATCACCTGAGATCAGGAGTTTGAGACCAGCCTGGCCAACATGGTCTAGTAGAAACCCTGTCTCTACTAAAAACGAAAAAAATTAGCTGGGCATGGTGGTGGGTGCCTGTAATCCCAGCTACTCAGGAGACTGAGGCAGGAGAATCTTTTGAACCTGGGAGGTGGAGGTCACAGTAAGCAAGACCACGCCGTTGCACCCCAGCCTGGGGAACAAGAGTGAAACTCCATCTCAAAAAAATATAAATAAATAAAATAAAATAATACCTGTTGAATGAAGAAAAAGCCTAGCTCTCTGTGATACAAGAATGGGCTAGTCACATCTCACCTGTAAGAGTTTCAAATTTAATCCTATTACCGAGTAATGCTTATCTGTCACTGCATTTGCAGAACCCCTTTCTCCTGAGTCCCCGGGCAGTTCACAGGTCCAGGCAGGCTCCTCACAGCCCTCCCTTTTCACCATGGCAGGTCCCAGGGCTTCCCCTGCTCTCCTCTCCTCTTGGTAGCTGTCACCACCCATCCAGACTATGGCATTTCTCTTCCCTCCAAGATGGGCTCAGGGAAGATGGTCTCCTTCCGGCCACCATTTCTTGTGGTCCCGGAACACAAGCTCACAGACCCTCTTCATTTTGAGACTTTCATGTCCATTATTACAAGAGAAAAGACAAGATTTAAGGGAGAAAACATGGGGAAGTTCTATAAAAGGGTAAAAATCTTACAGTTCTCGATCCTGCTCTATAGCACCTGACTATCTGGTTGAAATGATAACTAGAAGTTTCTTCTATACCAATGTTGGGGTCTCCCAAACCTTTTCTTTCCTTCTGATCTTTTCCCCTGGCTGTGAATCCACCCCCACCTTCTTCCCCCAGAAAGGTCCGTCTTCACAGCACATAGACTTCACAGCAAGAAGTATCTTAGCCGGATAACTCAGGCCAAGTTTCACATGGTTTAACTTCTGAGCACCTCGAGACACAGCAAGGCACATTTCATGACACCTCTATTCTCCGTGAGAATCTTCCCCAAAGGGCATTTTCCTATGGCTCCTCAGGGATTATTTTTGCTTGTCTCTTTGAAAATAATTAAGCTTGTTTATTTTTTGAATAGGTTACTGTTCTACATAGTTCAATATTCAAAAGGTACAAAAGCATTCAGCGAAAAATCTGCTCCCACCTCATCCTTGAGCCTCCTAATTCCCTTTCTCAAAGTTACCAGGGTTGTGTTTTTTTGTTTTTCTGTTTTGTTTTTTGTTTTGTCTACTTCCAGTGATATTGTGTATGCATGTGAGCAAATGTAGACATAAAATGCAAATGTACCGTCCCACTCTCCTTTTTAACACAATTGGTAGCACGCTGTGAACACCACTGCTGTTTGCTCACTATATATGTAGAGGCTATGTATGGAGTGTGTGTGTGTGTGTGTCTGTGCGTGTGTGACTGTTACAAATCAATACACGAGGCCGGGTGTAGTGGCTCACGCTTGTAATCCCAGCACTTTGGGAGGTCGAGGTGGGCGGATCACCTGAAGTCAGGAGTTCGAGACCAGCCTGGCCAACATGGTGAAACCCCATCCCTACTAAAAATACAAAAATTAGCTGGGCGTGGTGGTGGGCACCTGTAATCCCAGCTACTCAGGAGGCTGAGGCAGGAGAATCGCTTGAACCTGGGAGGCGGAGGTTGCAGTGAGCTGAGACCGCACCACTGCACTCCAGCCTGGGCAACGGAGTGAGACTCCATCTCAAAACAAAACAAAATAACAACAACAACAACAACAACAAAAAACCCAAATCAATACACGAAGAACTTCCCTAGTCTTTCAATGGCTGTAGAGCAGATGAACCATACCAATAGATTATTTGGGCCATTTTCAATGTCCTGCTCCTACAAACGACGCCAACATGAATGATCCTTTATGATTGTGCGGGCCCCTCCGCTTTTTGGTAGGTGGACGTTGCCAATGGCCATGCCATCTATCAGCATTCCTAGTGCTGCCCTGGAACACCATCGTAAGAATATTCCGGCCAGGCATGGTGGCTCATGCTTGTAATCCCAGCACTTTGGGAGGCCAAGGTGGGCGGATCACCTAAGGTCAGGCT